TGCTGCTATAAATATGTACATGACTTTGAAAGGAGATGTGAATATGAGCTTTAATTATATTATTCAATATTCAGAGAGGTAGGTAAAGTTAATTAAATAATTACACGTGATTAAAATTATGGGATATTGTTTTCAAAATAGTAGAATCCTGTAATCATTAATGACCTGAGTTTACTTATATCTTAATTAGTAAGAGAATCTCTAAATCGCTCTTTATACGACCAAAATTTTTTATTATAAAGAATTTATCCATAAAAATAAGAGTCCAATAAACTTTTTATCTTTAAAATATAAATTAGAGAGTAAGATTGACTTTCTACATTTAGAGAATCAAATTTCACTTTCTATCCTAATTTTAATTAATAAACTACAAGTTCATATATATTTTATTTATTAATTATCTCTCTCCTTAAGTCTATTTCTTAAAAACAAAGAGTATCTTCATTAAATTTAAAGAGTTTATTGGATTTGAATAAAAATTGTGTTTTTTATATTTTAAAATTAATAAAGATACTCTTTATTTATATGAAAGATGCTCTTCAAAATAAAGAATACCATTGAAGATGCTCTTATGTATTATTGATTTAAGATTCTTGAAATGTTCCTGAACCCTTTGATATATGAAAGGTAATTCCGAATTTTTTTTTCTTTATAAATAATTGAGTAATACTACACTTACAAATATTTTCATATAAAATGAAGCATAAGAATATAATTGAACGAGTTGATATAAAAAATCAACTTAATGAATGATATATCAATGTTAGATGGAGTTTTGTCGTATTAATTTATATAAATAACATTGTGTAGAGTCTTTGTAAGTATAGTATTTTAATAGGAAATTCGTTTGGTATTTCTTTAAGTAATATTTATGAAAATGAAACAAAACTAATTAAAATAATAAAATTATGATATTTAAATTGGAAATAAATGATTAACTTGGTAAATATTTAAGTTTATTTTTTTGAAAAATAGGTATCCTTTGCAGTTTGAAAAACAATATTTCCATGTTTCATAATATTATATGAATACTCATAGAAAACATGTTTTTGGTTGTTTAAAAATTCCAAAAACGAAAAACAGAATTAAAGAAAGTACTAATAAATGACACGACCGCATTGAAAGTGAATTTCTTGAAATCATTCAATTGGATATGATAATAAACTAGTCACTCTTGTACATAGGGGGTGTTTGTCTCAGCTTATGAAAATTAACTTATAAGCAACAACTGCTTATAAGCTAATTTTAGCTTATAAGCATTTGAAATTTTAAGCAATTACGTGTTTGGTTAAAATACTTATAAGTGACGTTAGTTAAAATTAAAAAATAACCACAAATGTTATAAACTTTAACAACACCCTCTTCTTCTTCACCACTTGCATTTTCACACCACAAGACACAAAATCAAAACTGTATACCATCAATCATCTCCAAATACATAAACATCAAAACTTCAACTCATCTTATACATCTCCAAATTCATCACTAACCATAATTAAAACAAAAAAGCAAAATCCTAAAACTTTAGATTTAGAACCCAAGAAAACTAAAAATAAAAAAAACTAAAAAAAAAAAAAATAATACAAAATACAACTCGATTCAACATAACTCCATTAATCACCTCCATTCAACACCAAAATCGTGAACTAATAATTAAGAACAAATGAAATAAAATAATAACAAATACAAGCTCATGGCAAAAAAGGTGAAGGGTCACCAAAGGTGGCATATTTGGCGACGAAGATAAGGACAACAATGCCCTTTGACCAATAGTTGTTTACATTGCCGAAAAGACCAGAACGGGCCTTGGCCAATGCTAAGAGGCCAAATAATGTCCTTTATCGACGCCGGCTAGAAGCTTTCAAACCTTTTCGTAGCTATCGACTATCATTAGGCTTCATGCCTTTCTTGGACACTACAAGGCTTCCGATGACCTCTAGAGGCTTTTGTGATACCATTACAGTCTCTAACAGCTACTCTAAGGTTGTGGGAAATGTTGGCCGTGGTGGCAACAATGACTACTAGGTGCTTGGGTTGAACAAGGGCCAAAGAGTCAGTTTTCTATGTAATGGGAATTGGGTGTTTGGCTTTATAGTGGACAAAATAGTCATTTCAATGGTTAATGGATGTTCATTAATGGACTTGGACGGAATGGGGGCTAGGGTCTTATTTTTCAAACCAGTGGGCGCTTTCATAATTCCTCAAACGCATGGGGGTTTACTTAAAAAATCCCTTTATTTTTAGAACATTGGTTTTATAAGTCATATTTTAGAAATTTAATGGTCCAATATGATTTCTTCCAACTTTAAGGGTATAAACATTTAATCCTATAACATAAAGCGGTTTGTTGTTGTTAGCTAGCTTATAAAAGACTTTATGGAATGTGACTTTGCTGCTATAAATATGTACATGACTTTGAAAGGAGATGCGAATATGAGCTTTAATTATATCATTCAATATTCAGAGAGGTAGGTAAAGTTAATTAAATAATTACACGTGATTAAAATTATGGGATATTGTTTTCAAAATAGTAGAATCCTGTAATCATTAATGACCTGAGTTTACTTATATCTTAATTAGTAAGAGAATCTCTAAATCGCTCTTTATACGACCAAAATTTTTTATTATAAAGAATTTATCCATAAAAATAAGAGTCCAATAAACTTTTTATCTTTAAAATATAAATTAGAGAGTAAGATTGACTTTCTACATTTAGAGAATCAAATTTCACTTTCTATCCTAATTTTAATTAATAAACTACAAGTTCATATATATTTTATTTATTAATTATCTCTCTCCTTAAGTCTATTTCTTAAAAACAAAGAGTATCTTCATTAAATTTAAAGAGTTTATTGGATTTGAATAAAAATTGTGTTTTTTATATTTTAAAATTAATAAAGATACTCTTTATTTATATGAAAGATGCTCTTCAAAATAAAGAATACCATTGAAGATGCTCTTATGTATTATTGATTTAAGATTCTTGAACGGTTCCTAAACCCCTTTGATATATGAAAGGTAATTCCAAATTTTTTTTTCTTTATAAATAATTGAGTAATACTACACTTACAAATATTTTCATATAAAATGAAGCATAAGAATATAATTGAACGAGTTGATATAAAAAATCAACTTAATGAATGATATATCAATGTTAGATGGAGTTTTGTCGTATTAATTTATTAAAAACATTGTGTAGAGTCTTTGTAAGTAGTATTTTAATAGGAAATTCGTTTGTATTTCTTAAGTAATATTTATGAAAATGAAACACAACTAATTAAAATAATAAATTATGATATTTAAATTAGAAATAAATGATTAACTTGGTAAATATTAAGTTCATTTTTTGAAAAATAGGTATCCTTTGCAGTTTGAAAAACAATATTTCCATGTTTCATATATTATATGAATACTCATAGAAAACATTTTTTGGTTGTTTAAAATTCCAAAAACGAAAAACAGAATAAAGAAAGTACTATAAATGACACGACCTCATTGAAAGTGAATTTCTTGAAATCATTCATTGGAAATGATAATAAACTAGTCACTCTTGTACATAATCTGAGTGGGTTTTTTTTTTTTTTTTTTTTAATCGTTGTCGTCGTATTATTATCATTATTATATTCCTTGTTAGCTATATCTTTTTCTCTTTATTAACGAAGTTTTCGGTATTGTAGATATACTTCAAAAAATATTACACCTAATCCTTTAATAATTTCATTAAATTGAACAAGAAAAAAAGTTTAACCTTTAAAAAGCCCAATGAGCATAATTTTTTGTGTTTACTGGCCGTCTAGGCTAACTTATGCCTTCGAGACTTGTTTCAAATAATCGGGAGTAGTTAACCCTATTACTATTAACAATTGAAGAGAGATTCAAATTCAGGACCTCTTAAATAATACACCCAAAAGTTTTTATCAACTATTCGACTATACAGAGGTAGTTTTGGTGAGTATCTTTATGTAAAAGTAATTTATATCACCAATTTAGGGCAAAAATGGTCTTCATATATAAATTTGGATGTTTTTTCCTCTTGTAAAACATCATAGTATTTTAATACAGCACTTAAAAGACAGTAGTAAAGTAAAACCATGCCAACTCAGTACAGAAAGTTGAAATGTTTACCAAAAATTCAATTGACTTTATAATAATTTTGAAGCTTCCTTTCCCAAATATTATCTGAATTACATCACCATACAATTTAAAAATTTCATATTAATGTCGCATATAAGATCTAACTAAAAATTTTTGAAGATAAGATATTAGTAATTCTACAAATTCATCACCGCAAAATTGATTTAACATTACAATTATAGAAATAAATAATTAAGTAAATAGATTGATTTGATGATTAAGAAAGTTTGTTTTTTTCATTGACTTAAAATGATATTATCACATTTATATCTTACCTTATAATATTGATTATAAAAAATAATAATAATAATAAGTAAAGTGATATTTTCACCTAAGATATACAAAATTATTGAGCTATTAACCTGATGATACAAGTTTCAAAAATATTAATTAAATGAACTATTAACTTTGTGTTTGATCGTTATATTTGACTTAGTAATCACAAAATGATATGAAACATACTTTATTTAATTATTTGAATAAAAAATTTAATTATAAAAAAACTAAAAGACTTTTAGAACTAAAAGATTTAATAGAATTAAAAATGATTTTTCTTAAAATAATTTCTTTATTTAATTTTGTTTTTAAATTTTAGGTGCATGTATGTAATTTTGTTATTATATGGTTAAATATAACGGTCAAACATTGTTAAATATCCACTAGCTAATATTTTTAAAACTTATATCCTCTGATTTATAATTCAGTAAATTTATGTAATCTTAGTGATAACATCCTTTTTAAGTAAATTAAAACAAATAATATACTCAATAATTTATAAATTAACTTTCACAAAGATACATAAAAAGGACGATCTGCGAAGTCTAATTGGTACATAAAAACGGAACACCAACAAAAATACAAAAGAAGTCAGAAGTCAGAACAGACAGAAAACAAAACGCCCTATTGTTGAACTTGAATAAGCCTCCTCGGTTTCTCCAGTCAAAACTGTACACTTCACTAAATCACTCGAGCCGTCTGTGTCTATCTCCTCTTGGATTCCTACAATTCTCGTCACAACGGAAGCCAATTCAAACTATTTCTCTTCTCACCAGTCACCACAAGCCATCTCACAATCAACACACATTGATCGTTTTAGTTTGATGGAAGCTCTCTCGCATACGATCACGCCCAAACTCACCCCTACTCCTGTAAAGAACGACGTTCTTCGCCGGAATGGATTCACTCCCGCAATCCTCCGATCCAACGGTTGTTATTCGACTAGAATTTGTAGGAGAAGCCGCGTATTCGCTAAGATTCATCACAGCAAGGGACTCAATTTCAACGATCCTGATTGGAAGTTGAAATTCCAGAGAGATTTCGAGGACCGGTTTGATCTTCCTCACATAACGGATATTTTCAAAGATGCTACACCAATACCTTCTACGTTTTGTCTCCGGATGAGGTCTGTTTAAATGTCTATGGAGCTGATCACGTGATTTTTACTTAAATTTAAATGTTTTTTTTTTAATCTGTTACAGGACTCCAGTTAATGAAGAATTTGCAGATGGTTATCCATCTGATGAGAAGTGGCACGGGTACATAAATAACAAGGATAGGGTACTTCTAAAGGTTAGCTTATAATTTTCATTCAATTCCGATTATTATTAAGTAAAGTATTATGATATATGGAGCGAATCATTATATCTTTCAGGTTATCAATTACTCGTCGCCCAATTCCGCTGGAGCTGAGTGCATTGATCCTGATTGCACTTGGGTTGAACAATGGTAATTGTGACTCTCACCAATATTGTGTGTTTACGAATTCACAAACTGAGCATTTTCTGGCTATAAATGTGATTCTCTTTTAAATTTTTGAACAATGTGTTTATTTTTTCAAATACATGCTGAATATTGTTGTAATTAAATTACTAATGTTATCCGAATTTTAGCTCTTGAGTGTTTTGGTAAAAATTAGAACTTCGGATATAATCTCATTTTTCCTGCTTATGTTGTTGTTTACATATAGTCTTGTGTGTTTTATATCGGATGATCATAAAATTTTGGATGGATATTGTAAAATTGTTATAGGGTTCATCGTGCTGGGCCTCGGGAGGAAATATACTTCAGACCAGAAGAAGTAAAAGCAGCAATAGTTACCTGTGGTGGACTATGCCCTGGTCTCAATGATGTCATAAGACATGTCAGTAACTCAGTCTTATTTATAAATGTTAGCTTGTATTTTTCCTTGAAATTAGCATACATTCTAGTTGTTGAAATTAGCATAATCTTTGATTCCACTTTTTTTATTTATGGCAGCATTTGCTGTTTTAAAAAATTACTCTCTTTTGCTTCCAAACATATGCGATTCACTGCCTAGGCAATTCTTTGACATTACTTTTCTTGATGGTCATGTTATGTTTCTCATAGACTTCTCCTTGAACAGAGAATAAAGCAGTAATTCCTATCATCCTGAATGAGTGTTGCATTAATAAACAACTTCTGATTGACAGCTGAATTGCCATTGTTTTAAGTTATAGTTATAAAATTTTGCATTTGTGTTCTCTCTTAATTTTCTTGGATAGCAATTAACACCTTTCTGTTATGCTTAATATCTATGTGGCACGTAAGTATTTTATGCAGAAGCCCTTTAGTGTATGTTTAACATTCAATTGTTTTTCTAGGAAAAAATTTCAAAGTTTTTGTAACATCTATCTAGAAGGAAAGCAAAAATAATTGGAGTTTAGCAATTTACAAAATTGTTTTTCATTGGGGTCTGTAATGTAATAATAATCAAGGTTAATTTTGATCAACATGCTTTATGATGACCTTCTGCAGATTGTCATCACTCTTGAAATATATGGCGTAAAAAATATAGTGGGGATTCCGTTTGGTTATCGTGGATTTTGTAGCAAGGATTTGTCTGGAATGCCGGTATGTTCTTTTTATATCCTGTTAAGGTTTGTCAAAAAATCAATTGATGTATTTACATGGTTTAATATTTTTGTTTGGAATGGACTTTGATTACTAGCTATCTCGAAAAGTGGTTCAAAATATTCATCTTTCTGGCGGAAGCTTGTTAGGAGTTTCACGTGGTGGACCTGGCGTCAGTGAAATTGTTGACAGTATGGAGGTGCTCAATCAATCTTTTTGCATCGTCATTTCTTGTCATGGCTTTCTTGTGTGAATTACTACAATTGAAATGCTTCTTTATACAGGCGCTGTAAGTCCTAATTTTACATATTGCTTTTTGATATCAGGAAAGAGGAATTAACATGCTCTTTGTGTTGGGCGGAAATGGTACTCATGCTGGAGCCAACGCAATACATAATGAGGTAATTAACGTCAAATCCTACACTAACTTGCTGCATGTGATGTACTTTACAATTGTTAATTTGTTCTTTTTGTTGTAACCGTCACAAATAATTTGCTTTTTATTTATTTAATTATTCATTTCTCTGATGTATAAAACCTTAGACCAATTTATTTCAAGTTGCTGTTGAAGGTTTTCTCTTCTATGATAATTGAGATAGTCATGGATTTGAATGCGTCTTAGATGTTATGTTTATGTACCCCTTATTTCTTTTACAATATTGTGTTCTATATTTTTTAAATTATAGAAAATGGAATATTCAGATTTGGGTTATAGATCATGTTAGAGGGGATCTAACAGGATTGCCAATGGTGAAAACTTTTAATGAATGTCTCGATAGCTGATAGATGCTAGCTCTGTTTTTATAGGGCTTGTGTCTCTTCTTTCCAGATATATATTTATGGTCCTCTAATTTTCATTTTATATTTCCTTTCAGTGCCGTAAAAGGAGGATGAAGGTCGCTGTTGTTGGCGTGCCAAAAACCATAGACAATGATATTTTGCTGATGGATAAAACTTTCGGCTTTGACACTGCTGTTGAAGAAGCACAACGAGCAATAAATTCTGCATACATTGAGGTAAAATTGAATGTCATGCATTATGTATAAAGTTGTTCTTCATTTCTATATAAGAGTTGTGTGATAAATCTTTTTCTTGGTGGTTAAAACTAAGGTTCAAAGTTCCTGTGCAGGCACATAGTGCTTATCATGGTATTGGGGTTGTGAAATTGATGGGTCGTAGCAGTGGATTTATAGCCATGCATGCAGCCCTAGCAAGTGGACAAATTGACATATGTTTGATCCCAGAGGTATCTGAATGTAATATGAATTGAACATATATGTTTATATTGAGCTATACTGATACAATCAACATTTGCACTCTCAAGGTACCTTTCAGTTTACATGGACCCCATGGTGTTTTGAGGCATTTGAAATACCTAATTGACACAAAGGGATCAGCTGTGATCTGTGTAGCAGAGGGAGCTGGACAGGTACAAATGCAATTTTCTATTTCATTGATTGAAATTTTGGCTTAAAATTAGATGGTCAAACTTGTGAATTGGACCTTTGTCCAGTTTATGAAGATTCTAGATCTTTACATACAGAGCCTCTATCATATTAAGATAATATGGAGGGATCAGTATTTCAACTTGGTGACACAAACCTGCCAATTCCTATCAAGAAGTCATAAACCTAAAAGATGAAATCCCTCATCCTAATGTCTCTCTTATGGAGAGAAGCTGGATTAGATGGTGACAATAACCTGCCAACTCCTAACAAAAAGTCATAAACCTAAAAGATAAAACCCTCATCCTAGTGTCTCTCTTATGGAAGCTCTGGATAGGACACCAATCCCTATTTCTTATTTCTGAACAGTTATCCTTCTCATGTGCTGGGACTCGATTTCAACGATCCTGATTGGAAGTTGAAATTCCAGAGAGATTTCGAGGACCGGTTTGATCTTCCTCACATAACGGATATTTTCAAAGATGCTACACCAATACCTTCTACGTTTTGTCTCCGGATGAGGTCTGTTTAAATGTCTATGGAGCTGATCACGTGATTTTTACTTAAATTTAAATGTTTTTTTTTTAATCTGTTACAGGACTCCAGTTAATGAAGAATTTGCAGATGGTTATCCATCTGATGAGAAGTGGCACGGGTACATAAATAACAAGGATAGGGTACTTCTAAAGGTTAGCTTATAATTTTCATTCAATTCCGATTATTATTAAGTAAAGTATTATGATATATGGAGCGAATCATTATATCTTTCAGGTTATCAATTACTCGTCGCCCAATTCCGCTGGAGCTGAGTGCATTGATCCTGATTGCACTTGGGTTGAACAATGGTAATTGTGACTCTCACCAATATTGTGTGTTTACGAATTCACAAACTGAGCATTTTCTGGCTATAAATGTGATTCTCTTTTAAATTTTTGAACAATGTGTTTATTTTTTCAAATACATGCTGAATATTGTTGTAATTAAATTACTAATGTTATCCGAATTTTAGCTCTTGAGTGTTTTGGTAAAAATTAGAACTTCGGATATAATCTCATTTTTCCTGCTTATGTTGTTGTTTACATATAGTCTTGTGTGTTTTATATCGGATGATCATAAAATTTTGGATGGATATTGTAAAATTGTTATAGGGTTCATCGTGCTGGGCCTCGGGAGGAAATATACTTCAGACCAGAAGAAGTAAAAGCAGCAATAGTTACCTGTGGTGGACTATGCCCTGGTCTCAATGATGTCATAAGACATGTCAGTAACTCAGTCTTATTTATAAATGTTAGCTTGTATTTTTCCTTGAAATTAGCATACATTCTAGTTGTTGAAATTAGCATAATCTTTGATTCCACTTTTTTTATTTATGGCAGCATTTGCTGTTTTAAAAAATTACTCTCTTTTGCTTCCAAACATATGCGATTCACTGCCTAGGCAATTCTTTGACATTACTTTTCTTGATGGTCATGTTATGTTTCTCATAGACTTCTCCTTGAACAGAGAATAAAGCAGTAATTCCTATCATCCTGAATGAGTGTTGCATTAATAAACAACTTCTGATTGACAGCTGAATTGCCATTGTTTTAAGTTATAGTTATAAAATTTTGCATTTGTGTTCTCTCTTAATTTTCTTGGATAGCAATTAACACCTTTCTGTTATGCTTAATATCTATGTGGCACGTAAGTATTTTATGCAGAAGCCCTTTAGTGTATGTTTAACATTCAATTGTTTTTCTAGGAAAAAATTTCAAAGTTTTTGTAACATCTATCTAGAAGGAAAGCAAAAATAATTGGAGTTTAGCAATTTACAAAATTGTTTTTCATTGGGGTCTGTAATGTAATAATAATCAAGGTTAATTTTGATCAACATGCTTTATGATGACCTTCTGCAGATTGTCATCACTCTTGAAATATATGGCGTAAAAAATATAGTGGGGATTCCGTTTGGTTATCGTGGATTTTGTAGCAAGGATTTGTCTGGAATGCCGGTATGTTCTTTTTATATCCTGTTAAGGTTTGTCAAAAAATCAATTGATGTATTTACATGGTTTAATATTTTTGTTTGGAATGGACTTTGATTACTAGCTATCTCGAAAAGTGGTTCAAAATATTCATCTTTCTGGCGGAAGCTTGTTAGGAGTTTCACGTGGTGGACCTGGCGTCAGTGAAATTGTTGACAGTATGGAGGTGCTCAATCAATCTTTTTGCATCGTCATTTCTTGTCATGGCTTTCTTGTGTGAATTACTACAATTGAAATGCTTCTTTATACAGGCGCTGTAAGTCCTAATTTTACATATTGCTTTTTGATATCAGGAAAGAGGAATTAACATGCTCTTTGTGTTGGGCGGAAATGGTACTCATGCTGGAGCCAACGCAATACATAATGAGGTAATTAACGTCAAATCCTACACTAACTTGCTGCATGTGATGTACTTTACAATTGTTAATTTGTTCTTTTTGTTGTAACCGTCACAAATAATTTGCTTTTTATTTATTTAATTATTCATTTCTCTGATGTATAAAACCTTAGACCAATTTATTTCAAGTTGCTGTTGAAGGTTTTCTCTTCTATGATAATTGAGATAGTCATGGATTTGAATGCGTCTTAGATGTTATGTTTATGTACCCCTTATTTCTTTTACAATATTGTGTTCTATATTTTTTAAATTATAGAAAATGGAATATTCAGATTTGGGTTATAGATCATGTTAGAGGGGATCTAACAGGATTGCCAATGGTGAAAACTTTTAATGAATGTCTCGATAGCTGATAGATGCTAGCTCTGTTTTTATAGGGCTTGTGTCTCTTCTTTCCAGATATATATTTATGGTCCTCTAATTTTCATTTTATATTTCCTTTCAGTGCCGTAAAAGGAGGATGAAGGTCGCTGTTGTTGGCGTGCCAAAAACCATAGACAATGATATTTTGCTGATGGATAAAACTTTCGGCTTTGACACTGCTGTTGAAGAAGCACAACGAGCAATAAATTCTGCATACATTGAGGTAAAATTGAATGTCATGCATTATGTATAAAGTTGTTCTTCATTTCTATATAAGAGTTGTGTGATAAATCTTTTTCTTGGTGGTTAAAACTAAGGTTCAAAGTTCCTGTGCAGGCACATAGTGCTTATCATGGTATTGGGGTTGTGAAATTGATGGGTCGTAGCAGTGGATTTATAGCCATGCATGCAGCCCTAGCAAGTGGACAAATTGACATATGTTTGATCCCAGAGGTATCTGAATGTAATATGAATTGAACATATATGTTTATATTGAGCTATACTGATACAATCAACATTTGCACTCTCAAGGTACCTTTCAGTTTACATGGACCCCATGGTGTTTTGAGGCATTTGAAATACCTAATTGACACAAAGGGATCAGCAGTGATCTGTGTAGCAGAGGGAGCTGGACAGGTACAAATGCAATTTTCTATTTCATTGCTTGAAATTTTGGCTTAAAATTAGATGGTCAAACCTGTGAATTGGACCTTTGTCCAGTTTATGAAGATTCTAGATCTTTACATACAGAGCCTCTATCATATTAAGATAATATGGAGGGATCAGTATTTCAACTTGGTGACACAAACCTGCCAATTCCTATCAAGAAGTCATAAACCTAAAAGATGAAATCCCTCATCCTAATGTCTCTCTTATGGAGAGAAGCTGGATTAGATGGTGACACTAACCTGCCAACTCCTACCAAAAAGTCATAAACCTAAAAGATAAAGCCCTCATCCTAGTGTCTCTCTTATGGAAGCTCTGGATAGGACACCAATCCCTATTTCTTATTTCTGAACAGTTATCCTTCTCATGTGCATAGGATAGAAGTGGCACTTTCTATCTAAAATACTGCCTAAAGAGAAAGGGTATCATTTATTTTTATTTTTTTGGTAGGAAAAGAAATTGTTCTCTCCTACTTGCTACTCTTGTTCCTCTCATCTAACAATTACAGTTTGGCTGACTTCCCCCGGCACGGCATTTGCAAACCTAGAACCTAGTTATCTCAACTGTTCAGCCTCTGTTGTATATTGAGACATTCTTTAACAGCTAGTTCTTTTTTTTGTCATCTATTTTCCACAATGTAATACATTAGAAGCATTTCAACAGATTTTTCAAAGAATTTGTTGTGTTATCTAAACTAGCCAGATGTTGGTATTTTCTGTGCTTGAGGCTTTTATCATCTGCTACAAGTTCATCATACTTTTATTCTAAAATATCTCCAGAGTATAAGACGCAGTCTACCTGTGTGTGCCCTTGTGTTTTTCCCATAAATTATCTCTGAAATTTTGGTTAATCATTTGATCTACAATTTTTTGTCATATGAAAAATGTTCTGGTCCTTTTGGTAGAAAATAATTCTACTTACACCATTGACCACTATGTATTTTATCTGGGATTTTTCTATGTTATCCCTTTTAAAATAATTCTCCATATTTATCCTCTAGGGGTTAGATGGGTGGTCAAGCCTATGATTTGTTCTCACATTAGTGCCTGTTTGGCCATTTTTTTCCCCTTGGGGATATTTACAGCTGCCCAGAATTTCTAGTAAAATAAGCTTCTTTTGGTGTTTTTGTTTCTTCTATCCTCATTTTGTTTGTATTCTTTTTCTTCCAATTTCACTCCCATGTTTGACTTTTTTTTTCCTGAAACTGTGCTAACCCTTAAAATTCTGACAAGTTCATCATACTTTTATTCTATAATATCTCCAGAGTATAAGATGCAGTATACCAGTATGTGCCCTTGTGTTTTTCCCATAAATTATCTCTGAACATTTGGTTAATCATTTGATCCATAATTTTTTGTCATATGAAAAATGTTTTGGTTCTTTTGGTAGAAAATAATTCTCCTTACACCATCAACCACTATGTATTTTACCCGGGATTTTTCTATGTTGTTCCTTTTAAAATAATTCTCAATATTTATCCTTGAGGGGTTAGATGGCTGGTCAAGCCTATGATTTGCTCTCACAAGATCTGGGATTGGCATCCCCTCACAGGCTCCTACATGGCCAAATTTGGCTATTGTTACCCAATTCCCTAGGATTGTAGGGTTTGATGGGAGCTCCAATTTTGAACTCAAGTTCAGAAAGCGAGTTTAGGAGAATTTTGGATTATCAAAAAATAGTTTTTTTTTTTTTTTTTTAAATGATTCTCTTTATTTATGTTCGTTGCACCATGTTGTCAAAATGGTTCTGTGAGGTTATTTACATACATCTAGTAGTGTGTTGAAACGATTGATAAACTATATCTGATTTGGATTGAGGTAGATAAAGATTGCGGTTTACTTCTCTTTTTTGAACAATTTTTCTATGTAAATTTTTATGTCTCATTTTCTTTTTTGGGCTGCTGGTGCGAATTAAATACAAATTTAAATTTTTTGGGAACATGATCTTGCTTTTCCTATGCAGAATCTAATTGAGAAAACTAATGCTACAGATGCATCTGGAAACATAGTACTTGGAGATATTGGTGTACACATCCAGCAAGAGGTTGGTGATTGTTTTTTAGTTTCTCTCCTTGTCTTAACAAATTATGGTACTTGCAACTTTTCATATTAAAATTTCATCAACCTAAATAAGTGGCCTGAACAAAGGTTAAGCGTTATATTTTATCGTCTTATAGGTGTTGTATATAATGACCATATGGGGTGGTTTTTTTTATTTTTTTATTTTTTTTTAATTTTTTTCTGGTATCTAGAACTCTTATAATAAATTGTTTTAAGGTTGGGTTTAAAGTCTTGCTCTACTGTTCCACCTTTTCCATCTGTGAAAGAGTGTTCAGCACTTGGAATGAAGTTCTACCCTCTCAATTTCACATTGTGCTATCCATTTCCTTCATTTGATTTTGAGTGATCAAAATCACTTTTCCATTTTAGTGTGTGATTTTATGTTCCACACTGATGGCACTATTACCTAGATTACAAGAATCTTGATTACTTAAATAATTGTATAGATCAATGCATGCATGTATGCTTCTCATTAGAAATTAATCTTGGTAAACCTTACTTGCCAAAGATAAATAATTCTGATGTGTCTAGTTTTCTAACAATCAGCGTCTTTTTTTATCTTTTATTATTATTTTTCCCCTCCAAGGGAACAATTCTTCTTAATTACTCTTTGAGTGTTTTCTAAGAGTTGTGTGATGGTCTGCTGACATCAACTTGGTGTATTAGTAGATTTCTTTTATTCACAATGCAGAGTTTTAGAATTTATTCTGGATCTACCAGATGAGGTGATCGTTTTGATTTACTATGTTTCTGTCAGACAAAGAAATATTTTAAGAAGCTTGGTGTTCCTGCTGATGTGAAGTATATTGATCCCACATACATGATCCGTGCTTGCCGTGCAAATGCGTCAGATGGAATTCTTTGCACTGTTCTAGGACAAAATGCTGTGAGTCTCTTGCTTCCCTCTCCCTCTCTTTCAAAGGAGTAAAATAACGTATAGAAATACTTTTCAAGTGTGCAAAGTTTTTTATGTTGGAGATTACTGGGTCAAAACACTCAAACGTGTGAGTTCAGAGAAGTATAATATCTAGTTTAGAATCATCCATAACAACTTCTGAATGTATATAGTTAGAAAGTATTGTGATTTTTTTCTTAAAATGCTTGGAGAACATACTAAGATATTTCATTAGTAATTGGGTACAGAAGCAATCTCTAGATATATATGACCTTAAACCAGAAATAGTTTCTATGTTAGCACCTGATTCCATACCAGGGATTAGAATGACTAGAAAATGAGCTAGCTGGTGAGCTCAGCAACTTGTAAATATGTGTTTCCTTTTCAACATATGTTGCATCTAATTCAAGCTTTGTTTGGGTGATATGCCAAGCTCATTTCAATTGCTTAATGAGCTTAGTCCTTCATATTTAGGGTGGCAATGGGTTGGGATCAAGTCCTGTCTGGGTAATGGCACATGCAGATATGTGCAACCCATTTAGCAATTTGAGTTGGTAATGAACCTGTCTGGATAGTGGCGTGGCTACAACCTAATATATAGGAATAGTCAATGAATAAATCAGGAAGTGTCATTTAATTTTCTTACAGTCCAACCCTCTTTTAACTCAGCTTAGTTCAAGGCATCTTATACTGAGGTTCCGTCCATCACTTTAGTTTATTAGCATATTTGGGCTTTTGTTCAGGTTTCATTATGCTAAATTTTCTTTTCCGTTTGATTACTGTGTTTGTTGCATTTTTCCTTTTTTTCTTATACAACAATTAGAAAAGTCTCCATAATATGTATAATATGCCATGCTTTATATTGGCAGGTTCATGGGGCATTTGCCGGATTTAGTGGCATTACAGTCGGCATATGCAACACTCACTATGCCTACTTTCCTATTCCTGAAGTTATTTCTTATCCAAGAGCTGTGGACCCTAATAGTCGCATGTGGCACCGTTGCTTGACTTCAACGGGTCAGCCTGACTTTGTCTAGTTATCAAGGTTTCTAATTTATGCCAAATAGTTCATTGAGTTTAATTTATCAGAAGGGTTTGTGAGGAACACAAAGTTAGGTCATAGCTTCGGAAACTTCATAATTGGGCTGCTCATCATAGGCTTTTAAAAAAATAATACAAAGGATGATATTATCACCAAATTAGAGAATTTTGAAGTGTATAGCATTTCTGCACAGGTTTTCAGCGGTGCGTCATAACAAAATCTCATAGGAATCCCCCGAGCGTTTTGTGCTTGGTTTTGAATGATATCTAGCTGTTCATGACATTGTCAAACAAGCCAAATATGAGAATGGCCTCATACATGCTTCATGAATACAATAACTACTGAATCAAATAATGTTATGTACTGATCTGGTAACAGTACCAATTGAGAATAACTGTTGTATTGATTTGTGTATTGTTATTGTTTATCTTAAATCAGATGGTAACCGACAATACTGTACGGTATCTATGGTATGCAAGTGGAAGTAGATTAAAAATTTCACTAACTTTTGATTGTAAATTTATACTCAAGAAGAACAACAATAATGTTTTGTAGAAGCACTGCAGAGATGCCAATTGGATGGCGTTGCAAATACATTTGATTCTCGTTTCAGGCATTTACTTCAAGAGATAAACATTGAGACAACAATAATCCTCACAGGCTGAAAAGCGCATGAAACCATGAATAAATAAATAAATAACACGTTAAACTATGTTCACTGGATTCTATTACAAATTTTACAATTTGGTTGCTTCTTTGGCTATGACCAGTCAAAGATATGCAACAGCTTTCTCTTTACCTCCGAATTTTCTTCAACTTATTACATGTTTTAGCTGTGTGTGGAGTGTGAGTCACCTGATATNTGATTGTAAATTTATACTCAAGAACAACAACAATAATGTTTTGTAGAAGCACTGCAGAGATGCCAATTGGATGGCGTTGCAAATACATTTGATTCTCGTTTCAGGCATTTACTTCAAGAGATAAACATTGAGACAACAATAATCCTCACAGGCTGAAAAGCGCATGAAACCATGAATAAATAAATAAATAACATGTTAAACTATGTTCACTGGATTCTATTACAAATTTTACAATTTGGTTGCTTCTTTGGCTATGACCAGTCAAAGATATGCAACAGCTTTCTCTTTACCTCGGAATTTTCTTCAACTTATTACATGTTTTAGCTGTGTGTGGAGTGTGAGTCACCTGATATTCTGAAATCCTATTCATTTATTCTTTCTTTTTGGCCTTTCCATGTGTGAAGCTGTAACTTCAGTTGAGGATAAACAAGTTAGCTATGGCATTTATTTATATGAAGTTTATAAAAATATTAGGTATTCTTTATTACAAGTGTGCAAAGAAAGAAATAGAAAAATAAAGGGTTCCTCATTCTAACTAAAAGTGCTCTGACCATCACTTCTTTTAACCATCACCCGTTCTATTTCCTCACCCTCTCACACTAGAAAAAATAAAAAAATAAAAAAGGCCTCTTCTTGATTCTCGTGTTGGGTTTTTTTTTGTTTCAAATAAACAATACCAGTTACCCTTTATATTTTCTTTGGTTTGAAGAAAAACAATGGCATCCCTTATCAATATAATATTTACCCAGTTTTGTACTTACTAGTTGCTCCTTATGCGATCATACCAGCATTAATGTATCAAATCTTATCAAAACTCTAAAGTTAAGTGTTTTTGGGCAAGAACTTCAAAGTTAAGTGTCTTTGAGCGGGAGCAGTATTAAGAATTTAAGATGGATGACTCTTGAAAAGTTCTCATGTTACACCCCTTTTGAAAAAAAAAAAAAAAAAAATAGAATTACTTCTGGACGATGGAGACAAAGCTCTTAAACCTCTACCAACTTAGCTTAGTCAGTTTGCAGAGGCAGAAGTGACCATTATTTTGAGTCCCCACACATGCACAGAGAGAAGAAAGATTGATTAAAAACAATAAATATAGAAACTTGTAATAAATTTTTGCTATAAATATTCTGTTCTTTAAAATTCATTGCATTATATGGCATTGATAAGATAAAATAGAGGTTTTTGTTTGAGAATTTTGATGCACTTCTTGTGGTCTGTTACTTGTGCTGGTTAATCGTCTCATATGGGAAGCACACATGGGTATTGGGATCCTTAATCGGTTATAATGGGATTAATTAATTTAATAATCCAATTACCACAATGCTTAGCTGTTGTCAATCTGACATTTCCTGCGTGGGTAGAATGCTTTTAAGTTTCAACCATGGTAAAGGCTGCAATTCATTGGATGGCAAAATCATATTTTTGTCAGAGGAGTCTGTTATTGCCTTCTCTTGTGCATTTCTCTGGTGTCTTCATTTTATCTTTTACTTGTTTTTGTACTGTTCCTGCCAACCATAGTATCTCTCTCTTTAAAGAAAAAAAAGGATTCTCACTAAACCATTCTATAATCTCACTCATGTGCACAAATAGAATATGCTCCCTTGTAATAAAAGAATAGTTTACTAATAATATTCAAGTAATTAGAGAAATAACCGCGACCCATCGAGTTAAGTCACACTTATCAAAGGAGTTTAGGTTTTGTATTTAGCATGATTTGAAATCCAAAATAACCTATCTCAAATGCCACTTTAATCTCTTTAAGGTAACTTTCATTAATTTCCCATATGGTATTTGAGTGCTATAACAATTATGTAGCATTATCTTCCTTGCCTTGAAAAAGCTTTTACTGAATGCAGAGATTATATAAAGACTGCAAGAGAAAGTTTGAATGAAACTTAGGTGTTTAGTCCAAATGAGCTAATTCATACATATTACATTCCATAAACATGCTAGATGACACTTGTCATCAATTGATCTCACTTTTGATGGTGAAACTGAAACCCATGAATGATAACTAAGAGCAAGAGGAGCATAATATACTTTATAATAAAAACAAGTGTGCACTGTGGATTCCCGAGGTTTCTTATAGTTATTTATTTATTTATTACTATGGCAGAGCTAGCCCAGATATTGACCCATCACTCAGTCAAAACAAAAGCCTTTGTGGGCCTACTCTTTGCCTGTGGGGCCCATTTAGACCATCACTCATTGCTAAACCAACCAACACAACGACACAGTTTCGAGTATAATGTCAGGTGTTACGACGTCGTCTGAATTTTTCCCACTCCTATTTCGAGGTATGATTAAATAATTATTAACTTTACCCATAATTTTATTTTTTGAAACAAGAGTCTTGTTCTGGTCTCTCTTAGATTTTATGGAGTTCCTGAAAAATATTTATTAAATGAATGAGTGCAATTTTATCTTTTTATGAATTTACCATGATTGGCATTAGAGGATTGATGGATATATTCTTCTGAGATTTTTTCATTAAAATGATAAAGATAAGCACAAGATTTCAAGATACTTCCCCTCTACATTATACTTTAAAACACCTTTTTTTTTCTCATATATAAAAAGGGCAACTACAATAAAAAATAAAAAAGTTTTTTTTTTTTCTTTTTTCTTTTTTTTTTGTGGGTTTTTTAATAAGCAAAACACATTGGTGAACGAAGCTCCACTTCTGAAACCTATAGCTGTTGAGAATTGTAACTATAAAAGGCTGGTGACTATTCTTTCTTTTCATGCTGTAAGCATGGAAATTGAAACCCTCTTGAATCTAATTTTCACCTTAATTTATTTATTGAAAACTCTCTCTATTTCTATCTCTCTCTCCTGTGAGTTGAGTTACTAATGGATGGAGCAGCTTCAGAAACCACACCAAAACTCTCATTCAACCAAAACCAAATTGATTGGACTTGAGACCAACTTAAATGTCATGACACTTTAATCCTCTTGGGAATGAGATGATCTATCTTGTCTCCTCCTCTTAACCTCTGGACTGATAATAATAATATTTGGTGAAGAATTTGCACATGACCCAACTGTTAATTCATCACTCTTATAGCTCAAGCATGCTGCATCCAACACCCCATCTGGGCTCTGTGGCACAATCTCTGTCTCAATACCACCATTCAATGACAAATCTTCAATAAGTTCAACACACTTCAACACCTTTTCCTGCAAACCAAACATAACATAGCATACATAACCATTCATCAAATCAAATCAATCCAACATCAACAATAGTAAATTAGTGGGCACCATCCGTTTTTATTTTTATTACCTTTTCTACATGTATGTAACAACACATAGACATGGCCTCATCAATGTCTTGTGGTTGCATATCTGCTGACGCAGAAATAGCCACTGCTGCTGAGATTTCAGAAGGACTGAACTGTAAGAAGTCAATACCTGCATTCAATTCCCACCAGCACTTCATCAAACTCATTAATCCTCAAGAACAACATAAGTACAAACACAAACAGTGTGAGAGACAAACCTTTAATGGTGCTGAATATCAGCTCTGATGATTTTGAGAAGAAAGTTGTTGAAGGATTTTCATCCTCATTGATCTTACTCAGATAGTAATCAATGAAGGAGTATGGAGTAAAACTTTGCATTCTCCATTTCAATGAACTCAACACTAAAAGCTCCATTCTCTGTATGGTTTTAGCCTCAAACACAAACTTGGGTTCACCCACCTGAACATTAGCATATATCATAAAGGAAAGTTAGATTGAAAAAAAAACAAAAACAAAAACAAAAACAGAGAGAATAGCAATATCAATTAATTAACTTGGTTTAGGCCTTATTTATATACCTGTAATTCTACTGATTGAGGCACTTCAGTCTCCTCGATTTTAGCTGCCAGTGATAAGCAAGCCACAGCTAGCAATTGCACAGTCCAATTTTTATCCCTCTGTGTATTCCAAATCAAATGAGAAAAGAATTAGCAATAAGATACAGTGTTAAAAGATGAAAACTTGGGGGCTTTCTTCATTTCTGAACTTACAGGAAGTTCATAAACTGATAGGAACCGATCGAAGTAGTTCATAGAGAGGCAAACACTCGATGGTCCAAATCTGAAATGTTGACTCGCCTGTTGATTATAAATACATAAAATCTCTGTCAATAAGAAGAAAAAACAGTTCATTTGGGAAACCAACAGAGTTGCCATCATTGATAATATAATAGCAATCAATAACGAAGGAAACGATGAGCCCAAATCCCTGAAAACGTATGAAAATTGCTAAACATTGAAGAAAAAACTATCTGCTTAAGGGAATAAACTTCAAAACCACTAGAATCGTTAACAAATTTTAAACAAACAAAAGAAAAAGAAAATCTTTTCCGATAACCCATATGAGATACACAAAGTGTGGAAATTGTGTTGACTCAAAACATGAAAAACCAAAACCCAGAAACTGGAATGCAACCACAAAAACAAGCAAAAACAATGATCGAGGGATCAAAAAGCGAAAAAAAAAAAATCCCATTTGATAAAAAAGCACTAAAAAAACAACCTTGAAAATCCAATCAAGAGCCTCTTTTCTAACACTCAAGTCCAGAGCCCCACTACGCAATCTCTCCAAATAATCATCTTTAGGCATATAGTGTCTCTCTTTCTCTACCATTTCTCTAAAACTCTCTTCATTCAGTAAAGGAAAAACCCCCATCAAGAAATCGGATCTAATATAGTTAAAGTTCGAGTCTTGAATGAGATTTAGATTGTTCTGGGGTAGCCCAAACTCATCAACCGTGGCTGAACTACAATCAAAATCACTAGTGATCTCAGAACACAAAAGATTTGAGTCTGCACAGTCAAGATTTTCTGCCATTTTTAGGTGCCTCAAAAAAACCAAAGAAAAGACTCATCAAAATGAGTTGTTTGTGATGAATGGCTGGGTGGGTAAGGGCATTATTTTTTCATTTCATCTCCACAATAAAAGCCAAAAAGAGAGAGGTTTTAGAGACACAGTGTGGGGCTGACTGGCCTCGTATACGAGCTTTATGTGGAAAAAAATATACGCATGTTTTTTTAGGGTAACCAAATCAAGTGAGTGAACACAACTAAATAAAGTAACAAAAAATTAAATTAATTTATCGAAATTGGAAATACTTATATGATAAATCATTTTTCAAAGTAAATAAGCAAACCCTTTTGTGCTTATCAAATTAATCTATACTCATTTTTTTTATTTATCTTCATTTTATTTTATTTTCCTTTCCAAAATCAGTTTGTCCATTCACATAATGCAATGGTTTTTTTTTTTTTTCTTTTGGCATCTTATATGTTTTTTATAATATTTATACGTTATAAGATTTGATGTATAGTAATATTTATATGACACATGTATGATAACTTACGTGCTTTATATTGTAAAGGTTCGCCTCGAATAAATTATCTTGTTAGTATTGTCACAAGACTCAGCAAACGCATATTATCATATAAACGACTACATATTATCACCGGTGATTAGATATAATTGAACAAGATCGAAATAATGTAACAATTTATTAAGATTATAAATTGCATATAGTTAATCGAACATGATATTAATTAATATAATCATACAAATGAAGAAGTCTAAAAAGATTAAAACTTAATTAATTTACCTAGTTAATATAAATAAAAATTGAACGATTATTATCTTTGAAATAATTGGATGATAATGAGAAATATAGGGTACTTTTGTGATAAATGCATATGATTAGAGATAATGTGAATATGATTTTGTGAAATTAAAAGAGAGATTACATATTTAATTTCTGTATTTAAAAGAAGTATTGATTCGCAATTGGTCCATGGATTTTTCAATTTTATATATATTAACTGTGTTTTCTAATTTAAGGGTGATGACAGTCAAATTAATTGCACTTTTTTGGTGGCAATATTTGGCAAATTTTTATAGTCATTCCTTTTGTCACATTAATAAGCTTCTCAAATGAAATTTTGACTTTAGATATCAACAAAGGATAATTGTAAAGATTAAAGAAGGTTATGAGCCAACACATTAATAACCCGAAAGAATTTGCACAGTCAAGAAGGTTTGTTCCCTTCATTAACTTCTTGAATTCGAATCACATTTATTCCACTTATCACATTTATGCTTATCTTGGAACTTGTCATATTTGTGTTACTTTGGAACATTGAAATTGTAAGTGTTTAATGGATCTCGAATATTAATTGACATGTGTGCTAATTGATCAGGACACTTCCGTCATATAAAAGAAAAAAAAATAAATAACAACCCAAAGCAATCCAAATTCATTTCGTGGAGTTTTTCAAATGAAGTTTATGTTTTCTGAAGATTAGATATATGAAAGCATATTTTCAATCGAGTTTCATTTTAACTAAAACACCCACCAAAACTTCCCAATCCATAAAATATACATAAAAGCAAAGCTCACCGCATTGAATTTAATATAAAGTATTTGCATAAAAATCAAAGTCATAAATCTATAACGAGTTCCACTTTGGATACGGAATTCATGAAAAGAACCAAGTTAAATTTTAGATATGTAAAGCTATGGCATATGCTCTTCCTCTTTTAAGACAAATCTTTAGTGAATATATATTAATTATTCTAACTTTCTAATAACTCGCCTCCCAAATATCTGTTAGACCAAATAAAAACCGCTTTCCTATTGCAAATCACGTTTATGTTTGCAAAGCTAATCCGTTTACTATTGTTATAGGCATGGCAATGGGGCGGGGCGGGGCGGGGCGGGCGGGGCGGGGATCTCATTCACCGTACCCATCCCCCCCTCAAAATCATTCCTCACCCCCACCCCTCCCCGTTACGGGGATACAGGAATTCCCCTTCCCCGCCCCAAAGGGGAATGTTGGAAACCCGTCTCCGCCCGTTAATTTTATATAACATAATTATTTGACATTACCAAACACAATAATTAATTCTCGTCCACATCAAACACTTAAATTAATCGTTTAAACATAATTATTATACATATATAGGTCAGGTTGTTTCTTGTTCAATTGTTTAGGGTAGGGAATTAGAAAAATATGTTTTATATAGGAAGGATAATTGTGTAATTAGGTGAAATATAGGGATATTAGTGAAAAGTAAATATAAATATACATTTTTTTAATTTTATATATTATATACGGGGCGGGCCGGAGAAAGGTATCACCCACCCCCGCCCCATCCCCGAGGACGGGGATTAAACACCCCCACCCCCGCCCCTATCCCCAAAAAAACCGGGCTGCTTCCCCGCCCCATATGGGCGGTCCCCGAAATCTCGGGGAACATTGCCATGCCTATATTGTTAACACCCAATGCCTAAAGACTACTTTTCCCCAAACTTATTTCAAATTTTATATCTCAAGTATGTGTCACTATCTATGATTATAGCATGTAATTAAAGAAATACCTATATGATGCTCATTGAAGATGATAATGCATTTTATTTAGAAATTTGTAAAATATTAAAAATATATAAATATTATTATTTTATAATCAGAAAACTCAGCAAGAAGAGTGTTGAAATAGTGATGGTCCAAACAGTTCAAGTAATGTATAGTGATTGAGATTCGAGCTCTGGAGTGGTTCCTCTCAACCTCTTTCGCATCTGTATAAATAAAATGATTGCCCCTATGGCTACCTTCTGCTACTCACTACAGATAGCGCTGATACCTATTTTTTAATTTGAATGCTCTTTCTCGGATCCTACTTGCCTTTTTTTATAGGGGTGTTCAAAAGAACTGATTGAAACCGAAACCGATGAGTACTTAGTGTTTAGTTTGGCTTCCTATCCGAAACCGGCCATCAACAGGTAGATTCCGTTCTAATTTTTTTAAACCGTTATTATGCGGTTCCGATTCCGGTTCCTATAGTTAGAAACCGAAAGGAACCGGAACCGAAACTAATGTAAAATAAAATTAAAGAGTAGGGGGGTTAAAAAAACTTTTGTAGAAAAAATATGTGAATACATTTAATTTATATTTCATAACATTTAAAGTAAATTGATTTGACTTTTGAGAATCTATTTTTACAAAGTAATGGAGTTTGTAATTTTGAATTTATATTTGTAATTTTATTTTTGTTAACAAGTGCAAGGGGGGGGGGTATTTATAAGTTTTTAAGGGTTTTTTTGCCATTTTAAAACTTTTGGAGGTCACGAATTTTACAGGATACCCAAAATCTGAACCGTCATTACAGGTTTTGGTTCTGGGTACTTAGGAACCGAAACCGTCGGTTCTTCGATTTCCTTTCAAGGAACCGTAGGTTCGATTCCTTCAAAAATGTGGGTAGCGGAACCGACACCTCTAATTTTTTTAATGCCAACAATTTCTCTAACCTTTTTATGTTATTAAATTTGTGAACACCAATGTCTATTTGTTTGTCACTTCTTGTCGACCATCAATTAGTAAATCTTTAAGACTATAACAAGATAAAATATTCTTAAATAAATTTCATATAGAACATCCTAACATAAAAATTCTCTTAAAAGCCGTTTTTTGGCTTCAAAAAGAAATTTTGGTGTTGAAAGGAAAAATACCGAAGGGTATTAAGGCCGAAATACTTCTTTGAATTAGGACTACTCAAGGGATTCTAATATGATATTTTCGTCTTCATAAGCCACAAAAGTCTTTTAGCATAATACTTTGTTTTAGATAAATAACCTTGACACTCACTCACACGTGTTCTCTAGGAGGTTTTATCAGTTTTAATTCATATTTATTTCTTTTAAAATGTTTTTATTAAAATCCTTATACTAGTCTCTATTTACAGAAAAAAAAAAAAATTGTTTTTTTTTTTTCGAATAATTCTTTATTAACTATTTGTAAAACCTAATAAATGTCCAACATTTTATCATGATTTTATCAAACTCTTAGATATAATTTTAGTTTAATCTCATTTTTTTATTTATATTTATTTATAATGCTTTTATCTTATCAAAACCTCTTATTTATCTTATTTTTTATTTCTTTATTTATGATTTTAAATACTTAAAAGAAATGTTGAAAATATGATAAATCTTATAGAGATAAGAATATAAAAAAATTCAAATTGAGTGAAACTACAAAAAGAGTTTTTTATGATTAATAAAATAAATAAAATAAAATTTAATATAATAAGCTATACCGATGTATGATTATGAAACATTTTCCAAAGAACTGTTTTCTTTATTAAATCATTAGTTTAAAATCAAATTACTTTTTTACCCTAGAACCATTCGTTTTAAAAGCAAAAACTGACTATAGAGAGAGTGTTTGTGTAATATGTCATACTTTGCCTAATTGTCAATTTGGAAACTTCAAAGAGGTAATGACTTCAACCCCTTCTAAATTTTAAATAAAGAGTTGGTGTGTATTTCGGTAAAGCTCGATGGGTTGCGTTTTAACCCACCCCAATTACCCATACGTCATCCCTAGAACTCTTTTTATCTCTTTAAAAACAAATACTTGTGTCCCATAAGCAAAATCACATCATTAACAGCAAGAGTTGGGGGAGATGCTTGCGACAATCCATTAAGAAATGCTTGAGGTAATGGCTAACAAGAAGATCATTTAATCTTGCGATTTTGTAATGATTTAGGAATCAGTAATACAACGTTTCTCCCAGTCATGAAATTGTGCGAGTGCACTCTAGCCAAAGAGTTCAAACAGTCAAATACAAAGCGTTCACCCCTATCACTCATACCATTAGATCAAGAAATCCCACAAGGATAACAAACACAAATTCTCAAGTCATACTTGTGAATGTTGTTAATATATCCATTAGACTTAAAATTATATTACAAGGTCCTGAAAATCTTAGTATACATATTTAATGTTGTGCATAAATCAGGAAATGATCATTCCCAATTTGGCTAGGAGATATCAGGTGATCAAGACTCCACAAATCAAGGGGTGAAGATCAAGTTAATTTCCTGTTTCATTGATTTTGTATTATTTCCGATTCAAACTTATAGGGTACAATATATAACCCAAACCCTAGTT